CACCGATTTGATGCCGATCAATTCATTTGATCATTTATATAAATCCTAAATTGCGGAATTTGATTACTTTTACTTACCATACCAGTATAATTTACTTAATTTTAACGAATAAATCCAAAGCGCATTCTGGAGGTATAGTTCGCTTCCCATTTTGTTTCTTTTTAAATATATATCAAGAGTTATTGCAGCTAGAAATATTACTGCATGTTTTAATGAATATTGCAGCTATAGATTCAACGTTAAAAATTGATCGAATTGCCGTGCAAACGAAGAACACCGGACGAGCCCTCAGACAGCAAAGTTTCCTACGTTATAGTGTTAAGTTTCGGGAAAATCTATGAATATTCTTCTTCGAATTTTCAAAAGAAATACATTTGCGTTCAGATTTAAGCTACATGAAAATTCCAAGAAAAATATTTATTATTTTTCTCAGAAATAAACATTGTATCGGGGGAAATGTGAAAATTTGGGAATATTGATACGGCGTTCAACAATAATTCAGAGCGTGAGGGGGAAGGCGGAAAAGACAAGTTGAAGAACAAACGGGATCCACATCGAATGAATGCAACGGTGTATTTGCGAGAAGTCGAGATTTTTCAAAATATTACGACAAAAGTAAGCTCAAATGTCACATTGCGTTTAGACGTATGGTTTTCGTTAATTTCATGAATTGCCCATTGATCCATTAAAAATACCCAGGTTGCAGAGCACCTTCAAAGGGCCGCTTTGTTTCACAGCGATAAAACTATAGATTCCTTATAATCGAAAATTTGACGGCCGCAATCTCATCTGGAAATAGGTACTTAGTACCATAGTACCTGCTGATAGTAAACGAATCATTGGAATCGACCTGATTGATTTCGAAAAGTAACTATGATGCAGATGAACTTTGAGGAATTTAAGGAGTCTGAAGTATTTAAGAGAAATTGTATTTGTAAACAGTTTTTATTTTCGGTCCTCAAAGAAAACTGTCCCAATAAATAGACTTTTTTGCAGATGACATTCTTAAAATCTTGTACGTTTACAAAAGTAGGCCTACACAGAGTCAAATTGAAATGTTACCCTCTGCCTTATTGTATTCATGAATTTTCTCACGCCGCTTTCATGTACGATAGAAAAAACGCAATTTTTTACGCAAGAGATGTTTCATGCGGCCATGAAAACGAACAGTTTCAGATATATTTTGAAAAAAATAATATGCAGTATTAGGTATTCTGAAAAATTAAATAAATTGCGTTTCTTGATAAGGCAAGAGTTTCATTTAATAGAAAATCGTCTTAGGCGTAGGTGTAAGTTTCAGGATTTTTAATGAAGTCTAAATGCTGGTAAGTCGTACATTTTTAGAACTTCAGGTCTCAAAAGACGGATTTGACGAGTTGAAATTTTTATTTATGTTATTTAGCCCCAAAAATTTAAAATAATAGACTTACGTCATCCCCTCAGTTATAAGGATGAGAAGTTTACAAGTATTCCAAAAAGTATAGCTACGAGAAACAAGATTCTGTGAGCTCCGTGACGTCTTGTAATTGCGCACATGTTAGAAAAAACAACTGTTCTCGGAGAACCCTTACCGGAAGGTATCTTTTCACATCTTTCGAGGATTGCTATGAATAGGCTTCAAAAAGTCTTTGACCTCGATATTTTGTATTTGAGTAAGTATTTGGGATTTCTTTAAAAATACTTCCACGTCTCAGATCGAAAAGATGCTTTTTCCACTTCTGTTGATGTTACTGCACTTAGCTTCATCTTTGCATGGACAAAGTCACTATCAAAGAACAAATGGATCCAACCATTTCTTTGTTCACTTACTTAGAGCTCCACTGCTGCATTATTCGAGATTTGCAAGTGCTGAGAATATATTTTCTAAATTAATAAGTCAGGCCATCTATGCCATCGTGTTCACCTCTAATGATTGAAAATAATTACATGATTCGCTTAAAAAAAAAAAAAAAAAAAAAAAAAAAAAAAAAAAAAAAAAAAACCCTATCTCTGAAGAAACACCATTTGTTATACTTCCAATTTCATTGCAACATCATAGCAATAAAAATTGAATGTTCAAGCCCATATTCTTGAACGCAAAAAGTAATATCGAAGGTTTAATTTCTGAAGCAATGTTCATTGGCGCTGTCCAAAAATTCCTGCTACATTCAGGGTTCCTCGTGAAAGCCTGCGTCATCATTGACGTGTATCTCGCTCTGCTTCTTTTTGAAAGAAATTTGAATTTAAAATGTCGTTGTATGATGAATGCATACATTATAAAAGTATTAAATAATAAAAATCGAGGGTGGTTAGGTTATCTCTCTGATCTTCGATTACTTCTTTCCGTTCTTTGAAGATAGTGATGTAAAAGTTAAAATTTAAACTCAGTAATTTCATTATCAAGTTTCCTCCTAAAAGTGAGCGTTCAGTAAATGACGAGAATGAAGGCATAATAAAGATCTTAAAGTTAATTTCTGATTTCTTATTCATTGTGTGCAAAATCACTCTTCGACAATGCCTAGCTTTTTTTGTTACTATACATATATTCTTACAATTTCCCTCGCCTTCGGCTCACATTTGACGGGCAAATGAGGAACTTTCCGACCAAACAGCATGTACCCTGAAATTTATCTTAAAGTTTCTTCGTATTATTCTGAATATTTTGGCATAGAAATTTACAATAAGAGCAATTTCGGATAGTTGTAAAAAAATGAAGAGTTGCACAATCTTGCAGCGACCTTGACATGGGTATATGTGCTGTTTGGTCGGAAAGGTTCTCAAATATGGGTTCGAAATATAATTATAAAACTGAATATAGGGATACATAGTGAATGATTTATTTTCTTTAAAAAAAAAAAAACTTACGTGATAAATTTTTTCTACAGTGACGGATTGATGGCACAAAAGCCACAATGATAAAATGCAAACGTTAGAAATCACTGAGGCACATACGCTGTGTACAACGGCAGTATTATTTTAAATTACTTTCAATTAAATTAAGCAGACATCAAATGATATCGTACATTTTCATAGCTCATTGTCTAACTGACAAATACTTGCTGCAAATTCGTATGTTCAGAATTAAAATTGATAGTCGGCATGGTTTAAAGTATGAACATTCTAAACTTTTGTAACTCTGGGATGTTTTCCAGTATTAATGATTAGTCTGTTGCTTCCAAAAATACCAAATCACTTTGTCCTAACACACGTATCACCGGGTAAAAATATAACAGTAACACAGTTTTAAATTCTTCAAGATTAATCGTAATTTAATACTTCCAGTAATCAAGGATTTAGCCCCTTCTTACTTCTGTGCACGTAATTTACAATAAATGCAGTGTCGATTTTGTGAGTTGACAACACCGTTTTCCGTTCATTTAAATACATTGAAAATATCGATTTTAGGCACGCCAAGCTGCCTCACCAATAATCGATAATTTTACGTACATTTGAATGAAGGAAGGACAGTCCTGCCAACTTTCAAGAATCGCCACAGAATAAATGTACATAAATTAGAGACGATTTCTACTTAAAATAGAAATACAAAAATTACGCGGATTACTTAAATTACACAATATCTTTAACAACTTTGAAAATGCCCTTTAGAAAAAATAACAAAATTCTAAAGCTTTAAATTGAATTATATCAGACTTAAAAATTTGCATCCTTTGCAAATACAAAAAACACCTTCAAAGTACATTTTCCATTCAAAGGAATAACGTGATGCCCCGAAATTCACTAAAAAATCATGTTTATTTTTCGGTATCTTAGTAGTTCCTAAACTGTAACTGAATATGGGTTATTCTGAGGGACAGTTATTCCTAATGTAACTTATATCGCTATCATTTTCTGGGCACAATTCTATCGGGTAACTGGGACGTTGGAATCGCAAATATCCCAACTTGAGAAGCAGCAGGACCCTATGAGACACATTTACCTAATTTACACACGCCTCTAGACAAGCACACACAGTCTGTAGATAAATTATTCATAACACCGGATTTTTAGTTATGCATTTATAGGACTCAATTTTTATCACAACAGAGAATAATACAATAGTATAATACTAATCACCGACAACATTTCCGAAATTTGGTTCAACAATTACCTATAAATTAATTTTTGGTAAAAGGGACAATTTTAAATAATGAAAATAATTAATTTTTGGAGTTACACCGTTACATACACATTCAGGATGAGCTGACCGATGAATTGAAGCTTTCGTCAGATGCTGATTCCGCACTGCTTCTCCTGTCAATTGCACATTCTGGGACTACGTACCTTTCCATAAACTTCGAATTGCTCCTTATGACCGTAATTGCCTCTAACAGTTCGGACCCAATGTTGCTTCGGGATTTCGAAAATATATACTTCAGGCCGGAAAACAATCGCTCCACCGATACTTGGGTTGCGGGTACAGCTAAAACTATGTTCGCAATGGCGAGAAGGCGGGGCCATTTACGATAGCCCTCGGTTTGCCACCATTCTAAGATGTTAGTTTTACGATGCACCATCTTTATCCTGCTGCGAAAATCATACAGGTCTAGTTCCATGTCCAAGGCGACCTTCCCGCGTTTCTTTGGCGACGGTCGAATCGTTCGTTCTCTTTCCTTTTCTATCAGCATCGCTCGGAACTCGTCTTCTTCCTCGTCAGAAAAAACTTCTTGAACTTCTTGCGAAGGCTGTCGCGGTTCTTCTTCACACATTCGGGCATATAGTTTCAATATGTGATTTTCAGCTAATTTCACGTCATCTTCGCTCAACACGTTGAAGTACCTTGGGTCGAGATAAAGGGCTGCCACAACTGCCGGATTCTTCATTAACGGTGTGTCTCGATTAGCCGCCGGTATCCGTTCCCGTGCTTCGATGTAGCTTACTAGTTTGTCTGCGTACGGAGTATTCAACTTCTTAATTTTTCCTTTCATGCGCATCCAATACGCAACAAAGTCTCCTATTAACAGTTGCTCTTCTTCAAACACCTTCGTCGCTATTTTAGCTGGCTCTAGCGTTTTGTGAAGCTCCTCTATTTCTTTCCATTCTGCCTCGGTCAATTTGATTTGCAGTTGTTCTGAAAACGGTTTTAATTTCAAGAGAGATGCCAGCATATCATCGGTAGAATGCCACCTCGTTATGCAGTCGAGCGTCGGGATAGGCAATTTCAACTCCTTCAACTTAAGCACCAAATTTTGAGTCCGAAGAGTCCTCACTTCTTGGCGTGCTCTTTCCAGAATTGTTTTATTGATTTCTTCCTTTAGGAACTCCAGCACTGCCAACTGCAGCGTGTGTGCTGCACAAGGGACAGAGGATAAAATGGAACCGGCGGAGTCTATATCAAATTCTAAACCTTCAAAGAAGTCCTCCAAATATTGTGTCATCTCTGCATCCACCTCGGAGATGTAATTTTTCTCCTGGAGGACTTGTAAAAGCCGCCCAGTTTTGATCATGTTGGATCCGTTGTCTGTAGTGAAAGTATACACATGCTTCAAATCCACACCGTACTTCTTCAGGCACTCCAAGACCATTTCTTTCATGTTCTCACCTGTGTGCTTCTTTGTAATTTCCGTCACCGCTAACGTTCTTATGCAGACCTGGGCATTTTCGATGAATTGGACATTTATGCCAAGAAAGCTGCGATGCAGACGGGAAACGGCGTCAACTTTCAGGCATACAAACCTGCGTGCAAGTTCACTCCGCAAATTCATCACTAGCTGAGTCGCCTCGTCAGGAATCATTCGCTTGACGGTGCCGGCTGAAATCGCGAATTGTTTATGCGCTGGCATTGCATCTATGATTGGGCCGATGATGTCATGAAAACCTTCGTCATCCATACATTCCAAAGGACGACCGCCAAGGGTTATTATTTTAACGCAGCTCCTCTTGAGGACTTGTGGCGACATTTTGACTTTCAAATATTCGTCGTCATCTTGTTGAGCCGTCGCCGTTGAAGATCCGGCTTTTTCTGACTTCTCTTTTTTCAGTTCCTGAAACTCTTCTTTGTGGTGAGTCTCCAGATGTCTCTCGAGATTTGATGCCCGGTTTCCCTAAAAGCAAAAGAAAGATACAGACATTAATTACCTTAAACTGAGCATAACATGCATAAAATTCCTAGTAATTCGGCCACTGCGTATGAAAAGTAAAGGTATTTGAACTTGCGGAATGAGCTCGACGAGGAGCAGCCTTCCATATTCTGAAATACTAGATTTTTCGTGGATTCAGGCAATAAAATATGGCGACACCGGCTTTTTTGGGGGGCCTTGAATCAAAAAAAGTTCTTGGAGGAAGGTTTGGGCCACACGTTGGGACGATCCCGGAAAAAGTGGGACACTTGACTACTGTGCGGTGAAAATATTCGAATCCGGAAATTGCATGATTTTTTCGTTGTAATTGGTTCCTTAAGGTCTACCACACACGAAAAAAATAATTTCTAATAAATTCGTGCCTTTTTATATTGAAAATCCATATGTCAAACGCGAGGGTCGAGAAATTCATGTTTCTATTTGTATGTCACTAAATATTTTTCCCACGTCATTAGAAAGGATTATTTTCCTTCTTCTCCCCTATTTCGGAAATGGCACATGCTAAGGGACAGAAATGTGGCCTGAAAGATGCTTTCAAATATTTTACCTTCATTTTAATCAATGACTTTAATGTTCGCAAATAAAAAGCAGTAAAATAAAAATATACAATGATTTTTAATAAAATGTCAGCAAATGTCCAAGAAACTGTTTGCACCAAGTTATTCTACACATTCTCAGCTTTCCAACTACCTATTTTCCAGCTGCAACTTCCTGCAACTTCGAGCAAAACAAACCAAACAGTGCAGCGCGGCACGGCGCGGCGCTGATAACTCGGACGAGGATGCGACATGAGGGAAACCCTTGCCAGCTAGCCGGCGCGCGGCGCCGCACCGCGCTGCACTGTTTGGTTTGTTTTGCTCGAAGTTGCAGGAAGTTGCAGCTGGAAAATAGCTTGTTGGAAAGCTGAGAATGTGTAGAATAACTTGGTGCAAACAGTTTCTTGGACATTTGCTGACATTTTATTAAAAATCATTGTATATTTTTATTTTACTGCTTTTTATTTGCGAACATTAAAGTCATTGATTAAAATGAAGGTAAAATATTTGAAAGCATCTTTCAGGCCACATTTCTGTCCCTTAGCATGTGCCATTTCCGAAATAGGGGAGAAGAAGGAAAATAATCCTTTCTAATGACGTGGGAAAAATATTTAGTGACATACAAATAGAAACATGAATTTCTCGACCCTCGCGTTTGACATATGGATTTTCAATATAAAAAGGCACGAATTTATTAGAAATTATTTTTTTCGTGTGTGGTAGACCTTAAGGAACCAATTACAACGAAAAAATCATGCAATTTCCGGATTCGAATATTTTCACCGCACAGTAGTCAAATGTCCCACTTTTTCCGGGATCGTCCCAACGTGGGCCACCCGCGGCCATTTCCTGCCAAAAAAGTTTAATTGTGGTGTAAGATGAGTCGCCTTTTTTAAGCTATTTTAAATATTGATGAAAAACAGGAAAAGTTTTAAAAAGTTTTTTTTAACTATGAGCGCAAAGATTGACATCGACGAAAATTGACGAAAGTGACTCTCTTACATCCCTACTGAACATACTTGAAGGACTTTTTGTTCCCCCGAAGGAATCGTTACGAAACAGCGCGTCGAATGCCGAAAAACCCGCATTTTTGGCCAAAATTGGCCTTCAGACCCATGTTTAGGCCAGTGGTAGACCCCGAAATAGACCAGAAATGACCAAACCATGATGCATTCCATAAAATATAGACCTTAAATGACCAAAAAATCGCGGAGTTGAGGAATTTAAGGGTGGGCTCAGAAAAGGCCCTTAACGATACCCCTCCTTTTACACAATAAAACACCAAAATGTTTCTTCTCAAATCAGTGCCATTTTTTATCGGAAAAGATCTGGAAAAAAATTAATAAATCTTCGTACGATGCTCGATACGTTTCTATTAGTCAATTAAAAAAAATATTGTAGTTCCACTAATTGTTCTTTCTAAGTTCAATATGATTCATGTCAGTATCAAACACTTACTCAATCTAAGAGTCGGTTCTGGAAACAAAACGGCTGAAAGTACTGCTTCATCATTCGGATGAAGCTTTAGAATTCCGGTCGTCTTTGGTTGTTCGTCAGGGAAAAAAATGTCGTCCAATTTTCTCTCTTCTTCCGGCTCTAAACGAAAACTATACTTCGTTTGGTTGTTTGTCGTTACAATTACTTTTTCTAGTGATTGAAACTTCGGATTCCGAGAGTTCTGTGTGGTCGCTGTTGAATTTATATATTTATTTTGCCAATATAATATTTCCTTGTCTTTTTCGGCAATTACGTCGTTGTGGCAAGTGCGACAAATATATTCTGCTTCCCTCGATTGCGGAACCTTCACAAACAGAAGAAAAAAAGAAAATATTCAGATTCCCGTCTTTATGAATTCCCCTTATGCGGGCTAGGTTAAAGGTGTGGATATCCCTTCCACACTACTAGGTATCACTTACAGTGCGTCCAATAAAATTTAAAATAATAAAAATGGGTATGCTACTCTCCTTGAGCTGATTAGTCTTAGCGGTAAGCCGGTTCCGATTGATGTAAAGAAAAGGAGGGAAAAACATGGACTATGAAAAGATATTAGGACTTTTTTCATGTGAGATTTGAGTTGAAATTTCACCGTTACCGCTTGTCCGCAGTATCCATACCTCTTTTTTCAATTATTTTCATATAAAGTGGGCCCTTCAAGACATAAACTTCGTTTGAACTAACAATTTTGGAGGCCCAAGAAAATTTTACCGCGGTTCATTATGAAAGTTTCTGCATTTTCATTATTGAAAATAATGGAAAATTTTAAGTTTACCCCGATATTTAGAGAGTTAAGGAAGAAAATACCAAATGTTACATTTTTATGAAAATATTACCGTCAACTGACTCGCAATGCGAGTCGAAGTGAGGGATTTGCTGTTCCCTCCAATCAAAGAAAGCTACGTTAGACGTTTAATTTGATACGTTCACCATCATTCCCGCGATGATATATAGATTCGTGAGTTCAATGCTGCGCCAACGCGGCGTCCATTCATGTGATCGCCTTCAATGTGCAGAGATAGGCAATTTATCGGCCCAGGAGCACGTTGATTTGCATCCTGTTTTGCCGGCCTCTTTTTCATCATTTCCATAATAACTGATCTGCATCCTCCAGCACAACAACCTCCTAGCACAGCGTATCGAAACTTAGATTGCTAACCCTAGAGAGCCCACAGTCTAGAAAGTACACTGACCACCAGACAAAGCTCAAATGAAAGCTGCTTGTTACGAGAGATTCATCAAACTTTAAGAAGAGCACGATTCGCGCAAGAAAAATTGATGAAATGAAGTTCTGATGTTGAGTTCAGGCATGCAGCGCAGAACGTTTAAGTTTAATAAAGTTAACTAATTACTAGGACCATTACCTAATTACTTAAAACTAGGTAAATTTTTAACAATCACATATATGTTATTCAGTTTTCAATCAATTTATTAAGAACCCATTTTATATCTAATATTTCTTGTTGTTACCTAAAAAAAGTAGGACGTATGATACAAATACACATATTTTTTCATTGTCATACGGCCACTCTTACCAACCGAAATCCTGCGCCGAAAATGCGTTCCGTGAGCCGACCTACGCTGACCAAAGTTGCCGCAAAAAACACGTTTTTTAACCTAATTTAGCAACACTGGAGTGGGTCCCGCTATTTGTATCCAATAGAATTCAACCTTGGGCTTACGTAGATGCATTCAGAAACATTGATGCGGTCAAACAGAATTTTTAAAAAATGAAAATACGCTAAATTACATATCGACGGTGAAACTACCAAACCACGTATCTCGTTTGCGGTGTTTAAAAATCTTCGCTCACATTTTATTTTTTTGAAGTAGACCAAATCAATATCATTCCTTGAAATTTTCACAGAATTTTCTCCGCACAAAGAGGAAAAATCACAGAAATTTTCAAGACTGGACGTTAAGTAGTTTTTCATTTAAAAAATAAATTATGACAGGAAGTTTGCGACGTCGCAAACCGAGATACGTGGTTTGGTAGTTTCACCGTCGATATATGTGTAAGTATGCAATAGAGGGTTACACATTTCTTACAAATTAATGTCACAAATTTTTCTTGCGCGAATCGTGATCTCCTTAAACTCTGATGAATCACTTGTTTCAAATTTACCTCGTAATTAATTCGAAGCTTCATTTTCATTCGTCCAGCGGGCGTAATTTCAATCGTACGAAAAGGTTGTGGTCGCGAATTCAGGTGATATGATGGACGACATACTATGTGTCAAAACGACATGCGATGTATATATATATGCACGCGAGTGGTTCCATTTTTTTCAGCTACTCGTCATTTTTCTCGAATTTTGAGATCATAGTTCTGTTGTCCGGAGACTAAAGAATTCACCTACCAATTTTGACGAACAAATTCAACGTAATGAAGGCGTAATTTTTTTTGGAGGATAAATATCGAATTCTATACTGATATCGAGACTGCACTCGAATGTTATATTTTTCCCCTGAAAATACGCCTTAACAACGTTGAATTTATCAGTCAAAACTGGTTATTGAATTCTTAAGCCCCCTGACAACAGAATTGCGATCTGAAAATTCGAGAAATATGACGAGTGACTGAAAAAATTGAACAAATCGATGTGAAATATCGCATGTCGCCCTGACACAAGAAAGAGCGTCCATCGAATCACCTTAAATGCGGGGTAATGTACCAAGAACCATTGCCATTGTTAAAGAATCAAAATTTACCTTCACGTGCGCTTGATCAAGACCGTGTGTATCTATATAAAATTACGCTGGTTCTCATCTTTAAAAATGATGGCGAGGAAAATGGAATCTCGAATGGAAAATCATAGGGGTGCAGAAAGTTCTTAGCCTTCCTCAAATTATACGATGGTGGATTTTTAAGTAAGTTTACCCATTGAAAATCTCTGAAACTATTGATGTTTTGAAAAAAAACCAGACCTGCTTTAGAAAGACTTATCCTCAGCTCCCTAAGAAGCTATAGTTTTTGAGATGTTGTACCCGCTGTGCCAAGTAATGACAGATTTTCCATACCGACCTCGTGTCCGAACGTGCCCATTTTTACCATGCTGTTGGGTTTAAGAGAAAACGAAAGTTTAAGTCCGTGGAGAAGTAAAAGAAATTTATTCTTTTCGTACAACGTCTTATATTCTTCGTCCTGCGATACCCGAAATGGCAGCGAAAACGTCAAAAATACCTCAAATTTGCCGTTTTTGGAGAATTTTTTTGAACACCTTGTAGTGGCAGTGGAGGTCCGTAAATTTGTACAAAGTAAGTTCATACCCTCCACAAGAAATAAAAAAATCTACTTGGTTCCTATGTCTTACATTCCTCGTTGTGCGGTGCCCGCAATCACTTCGAAAACGTAAAAAATACCTCAATTCGGCCGTTTCTTCAATGGCGAAATTTATTGGACACCCTGTAATGACTCTGGAAGTTCGAAAATTGGGGGAAAGCAAGTCCGTTCCACTAGTATAGAAGGGCAAATTTCAAAAGATCCTTAAATGATTGATTGTTTGTCGCACGGTGTCTTCAGATACACAAATAAGTGAAAAATACCTCCATTTTGACCGGGCTTTCGCTATCAAAATTTAATGGACACCCTGTAATGACAGCGGAAGTCGAAAACTTTGCTTAAAATAAGTTCATTCCATCTTCATGCAACAAAAAATTCTACTTCGTTCCTATGTTATGCATTCCTCGTTGTGCGGTGCCCGCAATCGTATCGGAAACGTCAAACATACCTGAATTCGGCCAATTTTTTATTACCGAATTACTTTTGCAGACACCCTGTACTGACAGCGGAAGTCCGAAGCTATGTAAGAAGCTAGTGTTGAAAGAAAGCAATGGATAAATTTAGGTATTTTTAAAGTGTTCGCCTCACTTTAGGGCGTCTGGCGACAATAATAAAAAATGTAAGGGTCTTAGAGAAATTGCCGTTCCTTAGTGATGTACATACAACGTATATTTTCTTGCACTTAAAAGAGTTGCCGATGACATAACAGGGTGCCAAAAAAATTTTTCACACGAAAAATTGGCCGAATTCAGGTATGTTTGACGTTTCCGATACGATTGCGGGCACCGCACAACGAGGAATGCATAACATAGGAACGAAGTAGAATTTTTTGTTGCATGAAGATGGAATGAACTTATTTTAGGCAAAGTTTTCGACTTCCGCTGTCATTACAGGGTGTCCATTAAATTTTGATAGCGAAAGCCCGGTCAAAATGGAGGTATTTTTCACTTATTTGTGTATCTGAAGACACCGTGCGACAAACAATCAATCATTTAAGGATCTTTTGAAATTTGCCCTTCTATACTAGTGGAACGGACTTGCTTTCCCCCAATTTTCGAACTTCCAGAGTCATTACAGGGTGTCCAATAAATTTCGCCATTGAAGAAACGGCCGAATTGAGGTATTTTTTACGTTTTCGAAGTGATTGCGGGCACCGCACAACGAGGAATGTAAGACATAGGAACCAAGTAGATTTTTTTATTTCTTGTGGAGGGTATGAACTTACTTTGTACAAATTTACGGACCTCCACTGCCACTACAAGGTGTTCAAAAAAATTCTCCAAAAACGGCAAATTTGAGGTATTTTTGACGTTTTCGCTGCCATTTCGGGTATCGCAGGACGAAGAATATAAGACGTAGGAACCAAGTAAAATTTTTTATTCCATACAAACGGTATGAACTTACTTTCCACAAAATTTCGGACCTTCATTGTCATTACAGGGCGTCCAATAAATTTTCGAACGCGAAAAAACGGTCAAAATTGAGCTATTTTTGACGGGGTTTCCACCATTGTGGGCATAGCTTGGAAGAAAATGAAATACTTAGGAGTTTTCTGACATTTGCCCTTCCATACTGATGGTATGGATTTGCTTTCCACAAATTTTCGGATTGTTACTACCATTATAGGTTGCTCAAAAAGTTCAATATACGTTAAGAAACAGCGAAATTTCGATTTTTAGAGCTGCCGAGCGGAGTGTTTCGGCATTACCAAGCGAAGTGAAAGTGACCTAAGAGAAAAACAAAAATTTTCCCTTAATCTGCAAGGTATGTGCTAGGTTTTTATCAATTTTCAAACATCTAGCGTCAAATCCGTGTTGCTGGCAAAAATATAAAAAATATACGGCGAAAATGCCAAAAAAACCAGAAAAATCTCGATGTTTCGGCTCTGTGCGCGCCGGGTTAAAATTTTTTTTTCTCAAAATCCTCTTGGCTACCGTTTTTTTTTTTTATCACATAGAACAATTTAAGACCGTGCAACATTTGGTTTTGTCGATTTAAAAAATTAAAGTCCCCCCCCCCCCAAAATGAATAAAAAAATGGCAACTTTCTGAAATATTAAAGGAGGATTCTTTATTGAGAGGAAACATCTCATTCGGTGGATGTCTTCAAATATTGAAGGCGAGATGTTTCACCAAAAGGATTGCTGATTTCATTGCTCTGAATTTTGTCATGTTTTAGGTTGAAGAGGACTCTTTAGGACTGTAGGCAGAGTCTATCGTCCTTCGAAAACTTTTGGACAATCGAGATATTCTAACACATATTCTGTAGGTCGCTGTGATATATCGCACGCAAGTTTGACCGAAGCAAAAGCTCAGCTTTTAAAGCTGGGACGAACCGTGTAAATATTGGTGAACAAAACTGAAAGAACATTCGTCAATAAGAAAGATATACTATAGGTAAACCTAGCAGCGCAGAGTCTGTAGTATGGAAAAAGCCTCGGGGCGATATGATAACGGAACTGTTTTAATCAATAACATCAGTCGCAGCTTCCGAAAAGTAATTGAAAAAATTTGAAATAAAAATAATTTAAGTAAAATGAGCAGTTATGAAATGAAATAAAATCTTGTTCACGAAGAATTAAAAGTAAAGAATAATAAAGTAAGAAAGAAAAACGTGGATCGAAAATTTGAAAGTTATAATAATAGTGATGTAATTTTTCATGAAATTTTGGAAGTAAAGAATACTGCAAGAATATAAAAAAAGGAGTAACGTCGGAAAAAATGAAGAACTTAAGGAAGAGATAAATATCGATGGTGTAAGTCGGCAATCATATAACTCGTTTGCGCTGTCCGAAAATCTCCGCCACTATGTTATTTTTTAAAAGGAAAAACCAATTGACATTATTCCTTGAAGTTTATGCAGAATTTTCTTCGCACAGAGAAGAAAAATCACGGCAGTTTTAAAGAATTGCCGTTGAGTAGTTTTTCCCTTTAAAAAATGAAATATGACAGGAAGTCTGCGACGTAGCAAACCGAGTTATGTGATTGCCGACTTAAACCGTCGATACGTGAAAGTCTCTCTATTGCAGCCGTAAACTGGAGAAACGATATTTTCTGCAAGATGCGCGAGTTATGGTCCAAAGAAACGGGGTTCATCAAAAGTTGCAGAGAATTAGATCTGCATTCAACAAAAGGAGGGGTTGGACTGAGTTTTAAGCTTTTCGAGCGCTATCAGTAACAAAAAAGCTATGTCAAATTAGAGAAGATGCAAGAAATTTAAATTTTAATGAACCTAAATATTTAATTTTAAGGGGACAAGAAATAATGTAGCGAATCTGTTGAGGTCACTCAAATTACAACAATCAGAGAGCATGCATATTATAGAATAGTAAAAAAATAACTCACCGAAATTCCTGAGCTGCAGCCTTTCACTTTACACATTTGGCATTTTCTGGACTCGTTCCACTCGAAGTATTTTCGAACCGGGTTCCGGTATTCTGGGCGCTTCCTTTTCTTTTCACTCATTTCTTACACAAATTGAAACAGTTCAGCACTAATTGCATTAA